GCAGACTTCTGTTCCATTGTACTGCTCGGTGTTATCATCGTGATCTACAACGAGACAATCAATATGGAGATAGGCTGGCTGAGAATCACATGCAATCTCACCATCATCTTCACCACCGTGTACTACATTGCCTTTAACGTTCTCACTGCCATTCAGAAGGAAACGATCGCTAACATAAAAATGTAAGTAACTTTTCTAATTGGACCGCTCTCCATTACGTACGCAACTATTGTTTCATCAGAAGTAGCACTCGTTATTTACGGATTCATTGACTATTGGAAGTTTGGATCGGGGCTGAAGGAGACCCTGCAAAAACTAAAACCGGAGGATCGCAGATCTAACCTGGAGGGAAGTGCACAGTAAGGATTACACTGCTAAAAGGTGATTAAAAACAGAAGTACCACAAAAATATCTATGTAATGTGTTAATCATAGTTTATGTTGCGCAGTACCTTTTTCTTTGCAGCAGAAGAGCGATAACAACTACATCGTAAGACATAAGGGTGCACTCAGATCGTTGAGAAATGATTTTAGTGATGATACTAATTTATTTACCAGAACTGATTAATCAGCTTTCGAGTTGTCTTTTTATTTATATGAATGAACATAACGGTGCTATGTTAGAGTGCTTTGAACTGGAGCCCTTAACTTATGCTCTGATAAATTGTAGATTTGCAGGTGTTTTCACTGGCAGGGGAAGAGAACATGGTCGTATGAGATCAACCGAATATGCTGGATGAGCTGCTAAAAGGATAAAATAGTTGTTACTTGACCATTTGATATCATAGGATGTTCTTCTTTTGCAACAGCTGTGAAATTTGTGCTGATGTATGAAAAGATTAATAGCATTTTGTGAAACGTTGAAGATGTGGTACTTTCATACCTCGCTGTGGTGTGGTATTACTACATGTTGTGGTTTACTCGTGAGTATAGGACAATGTTTCAATGAGGTCCTAGGAATTGAACCGGCATGCATCATCTCTGGAACTTAGGTCGACAATGTTAAACAGAATTTGGTCGATAGAAATTTAGTAAAAGGCTGCAAATGAGACGGAACGCGTAAAGATGAACAAAAATGGTGGATTCTTATACTTCTTCGTTAGTTCATGTGTACGCACACAAAAGATGAGTTTGGTTAGAGCGATTTGTGTGAATTATGCACCAATCCTGTTTCGTGTAGTGTTCCTGGGAGAAAATGTGCCAATTCGTGGTAGTGAACGTTATAAGATAGCATAGATAAAAGTACCGTGCCTCGATTCCACCAGGGTAATCTTTGAACACGGATCATTGGTAACTTTGAAGCGTCTGCAGGTCACTTTGCAGTTCCGGTACAAAGCTGTATAAAATAGGCGATTAGTGCCAATGGCAACATACGGCTAAGATGAGTCTTCAAGAAGCGTGGCTTACGGGAAAACTGCGTAACGGAGGGTGTTTGTTCAAATCGTCATAAAAAGTTTCTAAAAATGTTAATCAGCAGTGTTTTTGGTTGTGCTAATTATTGCCAAGGGCGCATAGGCCCCTGCACCGCTAGCTATTTTGGTTTGTGCTCGTACTTCAAGTTCAAGCAAAATATCTGTGCAGCTCTGCTATCCGGTGCATAGTTGTCAAACTAAACTAATTGAGGTACGTTACGTACATCAACCTGCCATGTAGTAGATTATTGAACACACCACTGTTGTAGCACGATCAACATCAATAGCAATCTTGAGCAGTACTTCTATGTTGTTTTTAAGGATATGGTCATTTTATCCGGTATATTTCCTATCCAAGGAAGTACCCCTGCTCACACTTCGCTTGTGTGCATTTAAAGCCTTACACCGAAATAAATTGCGGCACGTACAGATGGAATTGCTTGGCAACCGAACAGAATAACAATTACTGATGAAAACGGGTAACATTTACCAGAGCAACAAACATTTGTTCCGCTCCCCAAACGAGCATGTGCATCTAATTTGGTAATCTTCTGAGCAGGAATTAACAATATTCCTCTTTGCCACGTTACATAAACTGAACAGATGCACGATGGGTTGATACCATTTCAGCAGGATTTGCTATGAAATTGCAGCTGTATAAATATGAACGGAAGAGCGATCATATGCGTTGAAAAACGAGATGCTTATATGTATGGTTAGAGCAGTGACATAAATTCTGTGTGGTATTTTACGATAATATTTTAGTCAAAAAGGCTCTTTTCACGTAAACATCAAATAAATTGTTCTCGAACAATGTCAATCGCAGTTGTTACCATCTCACCCCGTTCTTTCTTATTTTTCAGTTTGGAGGGTGAAATCAAGTGCCTGTAAAAAATGAGTTGCTCCGAGTTACACGGCCATCGTAATTCTGTGACTCAACAAATGCTTTTTATACCGATTTTCTACCTCATGGGGGTAATCCAATACGATTATCTGCTATTTTTATTCTCAGGAAGTATCGTTCATTTTTAGCCTCCTATTTACCAAAATAAGCAACACAACATCTTAGTCTCTTAGTTGTGAGCTTTTATCGATACTTCCAATAATTTATCTGCGTTCTCTTATCTACGCTCCTATCGTGCTTTATTTAAAAAAGCAAAATTGACCGATCGTATGTACATTGAGCTGAAGGATGTAACAATTCGCGTGGAGAGCAGAAGTGAAGAGGGTAGAAAAGTTGACGAACAAATCCTATCAGAGGTGTACTGTAAAATATGCACTGGTCTTACGGCTGTGATCGGACCAAGCGGATGTGGAAAAACAACACTTCTGAGGACGATTGCTGGCAGGGTACCGGCCGAGTGTACTACATCGGGTGCGGTATACTATTGCAGAAAAAAGAGAGAGCTGAGCACTTGGACACGCATGACAGCATATCTTGATCAAAGTGACGCGGTTTCAAGATGCTTGACCGCTAGACAATGCTTATACTACGCTGCCACGTTCAGGACTAAATCATCAAAACCAGAAATATACGAACAAACCGAGGTAATTACGAAACGGCTGTATTTAGACGAGCTCTTGGATTGCAAGATGACTGAGTTATCGGGCGGACAGGTGAAACGGCTAAAGATTGCGATGGAACTGATCGTAGGTGCACCCATCATTCTACTGGATGAGCCCACAACCGGACTAGATAATGTATTAGCGTACCGCGTTGTTCAATTCTTGAAGGAAGTGGCAGGACACGACCGAATCGTTGTTTGTAGCATCCATCAGCCGGATGATCGCACACTTGTGTTATTTGAACAGGTAATGCTCATCAACTCTGGTAGGATAATTTACAGCGGATGCGTGAGCGGTATGGCACGTACAATCGCAGAGAATGGCTTTGAAAATGCTGACGGCCTTGAAATATCGAGCTATGTGCTCGACTTCTTGAATACGGGCCGGATTAAGTATTTTGATGCAGATGAGCACATGCGGATTGTGGATGGGATGGCGCTGAAGAACGTATTAATACATCGAAAGGAGAAAATAAAGTACGTGGAGAAGAGAAGCAATGAATTTTACTTGTGCTTTATACCCAAACTGGGCCATATCATAACGCTGTGCAAAAGAGAACTGAAAATAACTTTCAAAGCGCGTGAGCACATTCCAATCCTCGTTCTAACCAATTTGATAGTTTTGTCGATGCCTGCATCGCTCCTGGTATTCGAAAATGATGCTAGAAAAATAAATGGTGCGGTATTCCAGGACTGTGAGAGGATGTGCAAGGCCTTTTACAATGTGCTGGGATCGTTATGCTTTGTGCTGACCAACACGGTGGTATACATCCACCAATACAGGCATAGAAACGATTTCCTTGCACGTAAGGAGATAAGTGCACATGCCTACTCAGCCACTTCACATTACATCAGCACGATGTTCATAAGTGTCATGTACTTCATACCAATGCTCTCTCTGGCCCTGTATCTGCTCAGAACACTGGGAGGCGGCTTCTTTGACTGCATATCGCTCACACTTGTTGCACTTTTTTTCTTAACCACCGTTTTCTTTGTCAACTTTCTACTCGATGTGTCTGAGCACATGGTAACGCGCTACATACTAATGATGACCGGCCTGGCCATAAACTCGTACCCATGGATTGTGTCTCATTTTGTGATGAGTTCTGAGAATGGATGCTTGTCGACCATCGCTGCCGTATTCCTTCAGTTTTCTCCTGCCAGCTCAATCTTCCCAACCATCGCCCTTCGAGTTTGTGGTAAACAGGTCCGCAAATCAGAAAGGAACGCTGTCCTTCGATCGGTGTTTTCATCCATTGGTATGAGAATTAGGGAAGATGTTGGCCGAAGCGCCTTGTTCCCGCCAGAAAACTCCTATACTTCGTATGCGTTGATGCTTTTCTTTCTTATGTTTTACGCTGTGTTGAGCTATTACGTCAGTGTTAGGCCATACCGCTTTGAATACCGGGTCAATCTGAGCAAAAGAGAGATTGAAGATGACGGGTGCGAGAGCGTATCCGTGTGTGTAAGGGATGGTTGAGCCACATCGCTCATTTTATTAAAAATATTGGAACGAACCAAGCAGATCAGATTCGCCAATAAAATATGTCGAAGCATTTTTGTTCGAGCCATGTTCTGTGATTGCTGTGTAAGATGATGGATGAATGAGCAGCACTTTATAAACGATATGTTATGGATCGTTAGATAAATTTACACCATTCTCACATGCTTTTATCTTTGGTGGTATATTTTTGATGCATAGCGCGTCCTCGTTTATTTTTACCTAAACTAATTTTGTGCTGTTGTGTGCCCTGTTCCTCATTTACTCAGATAAAAGTACCGTTGCCACACTTTGTTCGAGATATTACGTGTACTTGCTTGTTTTAGAAGGAGCTTGTAGCTGTTCACCTGGTAGCTGTAGCTGTTCACCTGGTAGCTGTAGCTGTTCACCTGGTAGCTGTAGCTGTTCACCTGGTAGCTGTAACTTTTCACCTGGTAGCTGTTCACTTGGTTGGTAGCAATTTTATATTTTACAAATAATCGAGCAAGTTTTTACAAAAAGTAACCGTAAACTGCAAATGTTACCTTTCAGATCATCATTGCAGAGTGCTAATGATGGCCAAAACGACCATACACAACGAAGAACGTACATTACGCTTGGCCAAGAGCAGGAATATTTGTTCAAAAAATATATAAAATGTGTTGAAAGTGACACTTACATAGACTGAACATGCTACAACAGCTCAGTTTATTTTGATAAATTAGCATGAACAACTGCAATATAGTATATCCTGCCTGAACTATAAAATTTTTATGTCGTAGAATGGTATTAACTGTCTTTATTTATACACTAGCACGCTATATCTGTTAATAAAACGGAACAAAGTGTAATTATCTGTTAAATAATATTTCTCTCTTTAACATGTTATATTACGTTTTTCACCCATTTTAGTTCTTTTCCTAGGAATTAACGAATTAATTCTGATAACCATGTCTTGTTGATATTGTTTAAGAAGAAAGGCTGGTAAGTTTTCGAAGAAAGAATTGAACTGCAATGTTTAGATCTAACGTATGTATAAATGTGGAATAAAAGTCTTTGATTTCTCCTAAAACATCAAATAATTTCTTCCTCAATTGAACAATCCGATTTTGAATTGTCTTTTTACGTATGACGGATCTCAAGCTCATCATGCTAATAAACAACCGTATAATCAACCAATTTCATATAAATAAAAAGACAACTCGGAAGCTGATTAGCTATCTTTGACGTCTACCACCTCATTTGTGGTTCAAAAAGGTGTTAATATACTCAATTCTTATGCCATGTTTATCTCTTTACTCGCCGAGTATGCGACTGGAATAAATGAAAGAACTTTTCTTACATTGCCTGAAGAGGTACGTTATGCAAAAATATTCTAAAATTACAATATCGGCTGCTCACCACGATGTGTTATTATGGGTAACAAAATTTTAGCACATAATTACTGCGGTCTCACACCAAGGTTGTTACATGACATATTCCTTGCCATATATTATTTATTTGTGCAATTATGAGTTTATAGATAGTGCAAATTTATTTGCACGTTCTCTTTCAGATTATAGCGATTTATAAACGTGCATCTCACTGTGCTACGAACATAGATTAAACTCATGCATCAAGGCTAAAAGAATCATTTCCTTGTGGCAGGAATATAAAAACCATTTTTGTGTTACCAAGCCGTTTCAGATGAATGAGTCCTACGCTTTCATCGTAAATGATGTAATTAATTCCTTTATTGAGCATCTGTTCAAGTTTAAGCTGTAGTTCTTTGTATAGCAAGCATTTCATGAGCAGTTCCAAGCGCTCTCTTCGAGCTAATCAATGAGTTTTCCTCATTTCCTGATAATTGCAATAAACCATAAATGCCAGCGAACAGAGATAGTAGCCCAACATAAAAGCACCCAGTGCTATCCACAAACCGCTAGCAACAACACACGTGCTGCAGTGCTGTTCACCGTTCTTAAGCAGTAAAATGTTGCACAGTATGATGAACAGTCCAAACATGTAAAGTGCCTCTGAGAATATTCTGCATACTAAATTAGAAAAACCACTTACGCCTTAACGGCTTTATCAGAATGGCCGGTCTCTCAACAAAGAGCGAGATCGATGATGACATGTAAACGACTGCAATTAGAATCAGAGCAATGTATTGCTCGATAAGAAAGGGTGCAAGTACGCTTACTGTCAGTAACGTTCCCATCGAGAGGAGCAGTTGGTACACCTTTGATTTATTTGTTGGCATGGGAAATGAGTTGCTTGTTTTTTTGTACAGCTGATAAATTACAGCACGGGAATCACTGCTTTATTTGATGAAATGGCGGAGTAACGCTCAAAACACCTGTAAATTACAACGTATGCGGTTTAATTCACCATATATACCCCTGAAACACGCTCTGCACAAAGGAGGAAAAAAAGAAGCACCGCTCGATTGTACACTTTATAAGGTATGATTAACATAAAAATATTATAAAATAGCATTTGCTGCCATTATTTAGCTACAATTCATATAAAACGGCTTTTTATAAACTTAGTTATTGTTTATGAAACACCATTGGCAAAATTATACTTCTCATAACAATATTAAACTTCCCTTTATGAACAACAATACGTTACTACCTTTTCTCAATTTTTATGTAGAAATGCATTTATCTATATTTCATACATAGCACCACTTAATAAGCACATTTCTATGTTCCCTATACTTTTCAAACACCCCCATATTACAGCGCTGTTACTAATTTATTGTTTAATTACTTTATTTGCAATATATGAGCGGTTTAAAAACAAATTATTTCGTTTTTCGTAGCGCTGATATTCACAGGAAATAACAAATATTGCAGTTTTAACACAACGAATCCAAAGATCGGTTCTTAAACTAAGTAATTTAGAAATAAATGATTTAACACGATATAACAATTGTATCCGTAGCAATGCTTCCTATTCTTATGGTTGGTTCAATTACCATCATAGCAAGCAAAAGATGAAGAACTAAAAAGGAATTGGAGTAGGAGTATACAAGCAGCGAGCATGTGGACAAATAATGAAAGTGC